AAAATTAAAATTACAAATTTATTATGTATGAAATTTTAAAACATAATACTCAAAATTTAAAACTTAATTAATTTATAAAACTATTTAATTTTATTTAAAAATTTAAAAATTTTTTAAAATTAAAACTAAAAACTCACAACTATAATTATATTAAATAGACCGAAAATTAACTTTTATGGTTTTCTACGCGAATTGCGCCTTTGTTTTTCATTTTCAGAGAGACAAACTTGACTAATGGCACTTTGGTTTCCAAAAGTTAGAGGCAATTTCATTTCGGAAGAAAAGAAACCAAAAAGCAAAAGCAATGGGAAGGGATTATAATCATGACCATACTCCATGGGAGGTGGTGAATTACTGCAAGCAATAATAATGCAGGGACCCTGGTTGCGCGTATGCCTTCTTTTCTTTCCTGAATATCTTATCTTCAGATTCAAAATGCCATAATTTGTACAAGGTGCCTCTAGTAAAGAAACCAGGGCAAACAATTATACAAACCTCCAATTATTGGTATGTGTAAAGATAGGTCCGAGGTCAAGGACTTCGGACATACTGTAACAATTCCTTAATAGCCGAAGTGAGATTAATTCCAGCACTTCCGGTCAAATGGCTACATGGTAAATACAGTGGACATGTCCGCACTTGATCTATCACACAATTTCTCGGTTCCAAATTTATCACCGGTCCCGAATTTACCTCCTTAAGAGACATGTCACACTCCGATTATCCTGCTAAGCAAGCCACGTGGATACTTCACAAAGGCCTATAAATACCCCCTAGTGGCCACCTTAGAAAGGTAATTGAAACTGACCTAAAGCTCCTCTTTAATTATCCTAAAAAGGTAGATCCGATTATTGCTGACTTAAACATCGGAGTGTCTACCCCGGGACCCACCTCGGGGCTTTGTAGGTTCATCTGAAGTGAAGATGCGGACTGAAAAAGGACTTCTGGTTTGGTGCAATTACATTGGCGCTGTCTGTGGGAAACCGAACTAAAAGCTCTCTTGTTGCTCTCTCATCATGGTTAACACTCAATCAGTCCGAGCTGGAAATCCATCTCAGCCTCTTAGACAAGGTCAAGTCCCCAACAACCTTCCACCTCACCTCCCACCTCAGATCCCAAATATGTTCCCTCCTGTTGATCATGCAGAAGGAGGAGATGAAAACCAACCTCACAATTTAGCTCACAACTCAGCTTCCACCAACAATCAAGACGTAGTTACAACTCAGCTTGCTGCCATGCAGCAACAGTTTGGTGTCTTTCAATTAGTATTGGCTCAGCTCCTAGCTCGGAATAATCCTGGTGATCCCCTCATCAATTTACTCAACCCTGCTCCACAATCCCCAGCTCCATAGCAAGACCCTCAACCAGTTCAGCATGCTCCCGCTCTCAGTCAGTCTCAGGGCCAGTCCCACCTAGCACCAGCTCAACAACCTCCACCTGATGATGTCACTCAACGTCTTGACAGTTTGGAAAAACTAATAGCTGAATAGCGAGCTGCTCCACCTCCACACCATAATACTGACTCCATACCTCATCCCTTAAACACCAACATCACATTGGAACCTTATTCCGCTGGCTTCAAAATTCCTCAACTCGAGACATATGACGGGACAAAGGACCCCGATGATCACCTCCATGCCTTCTATTCATGTATGCAAGCTCAGAACGCCTCTGATGCGTTAATGTATAAGATCTTTCTCTCCACTCTTCGTGGTAATGCCCGAACTTGGTACTATAGTTTGCCCCCAAGATCTATTAGCTCCTATTCAGAAATGACATCTGCTTTTGCCACAAAGTTTTCCAGTAGAAGGTTGATCAGGAAAACCACTTCTGAACTAATGCGAGTCTAGCAAATGGATGGAGAATCTCTGAAGAATTACATGAGCTGGTTCAACGATGTAGTTCTCGAAGTCAGCTCCTTTAACCAAGCCGTGGGAATTGTGGCTGTAATTCAAGGTCTCCAACATGAGAGATTCAAGGATAGCTTAATCAAGCATCTTGCTGCTATTTTCAACGAGGTTAATGACAGATCGTTGAAATTCATAATTGCTGAGGAATATGCTTTATCCTAGAAACCAATTCCTCCCAGAAACCAAAACCCAGATTGGAGAAATGAGGGTCAGAGCAGAAAACGGATGAAGATAGTACAGAATCGAGGTCCGATGATGGCCTCCCCACCTAAGTTTGGAAAGCCGAACTCCGTACCTCCCCAACAAAATATCAGTAAATCACCAGTTACATGGACTCCTTTTAATCTGCTGAGGTCGCAGATATTCATGCAGATCAAGAATAAGATGGATTTAGGACGACTGGGACTAATGAGAAGCTCTGCTGCTACATGAGATCATACCAGATACTATGATTTTCATCAAGATCATGGTCACACAACGGAGCAGTGCAATAGTCTGAGGTCTGAACTGGAAAGTCTAGCCCAGAAGGGCATGTTGAATGAATACATCCAGTGAACCAAGCAACCGAACTTTGTTAGAGAACAGGGGGCATAGCCACAAGGATCTCGTAACGTAGGAAACAGACAAGGCGTGGGATATCAATAAGCCCCACCCCCACTCCCACCACCAGCTAGAATTATAGATATGATTACGGGAGGCTTGGAAGCAGGAGGTTTGAGCTCTAAGCAACGAAAGTTGTACGTCAGAGAGGTGAAGCATAACAACCGAGCTCAGAAAAGAAAGTTTGACGATGCTGACTGGAAGAATCAACTCGTCACTTTCACATCTATTGATTTTGACACAGTTGACACACCTCACAATGATCCTCTGGTCACTTCTATCATGATTTACAACTGTGAGGTACAACGTGTCCTTGTCGACACAAGAAGTGCACCAGATATTATGTACTTTCATGGTTTTGAGAGTCTTGGGCTGGATCCAGCTTTGTTGCAGAGGTATGACAGTCCTATCTATGGATTCAACAACCAACCTATTCAAGTCGAAGGAGTCCTCACTTTTAATGTTGCTTTTGGGAGTGGCCGAACTTATGTTACCCCTTCAGTTCGATTTCTAGTTAAAATGGCATCCTCCTTCAATATTGTTATTGGCCGACCCACATTGACCGAAATCCGAGTTGTGGCATCCCAGTCTCACCTTTGCATGAAGTTCCCAACTCCCATGGGGATAGCAACACTAAGGGGTAACCAGGAGGTAGCCGGACATTGCTATATTACCTCAGTTACAATGCCTCAGAAAGGCAAAGACCAGACGCCAGAAGCCAGAAGCCAGAAGCCAGAAGCCATTCCCCAACGAGTTCCTGACAATCAGCAAGTAATGGGTGTGGAGATAGTAGACAACCGACCAGAGGATGAAACAAGAGCTACTTCGGTCAAGGATGTTGAAGAAGTGCATATTGACGACAAAGATCCAAGCAGCAAGACACAAATTGGAACTCGGTTTAGTCTGAAGGAGAGAACAGAGCTAATAGCTTTTCTCCGAGCTAACAACGATGTCTTCGCTTGGACTTCTACAGACATGCCAGGAATCCCAACCTCGGTATCCCAGCATAAGCTCAGTACCAATCCATTGAAGAAACCAGTAGCCTAGAAGCGATGTCTCTTCGGGGGGGAGAGGCTTCAGGTTATAAAGGAAGAGGTAGAGAAGCTTCTACAAGTTGGTTTCGTCAGAAGAGTTGATTATTGCGAATGGGTGGCTAACCTAGTGCTGGTTAAAAAGGCAAATGGCAAATGGCGAATGTGCATCGACTACACAAATCTCAACCAAGCTTGCCCCAAGGATTGCTATCCGATGCCAAGCATTGACAAACTGGTTGAAGCAACTTCGAGAAATGAGAGGTTAAGTCTCTTGGATGCATATTCTGGGTATCACCAGGTGCTGATGGCTCCGGAGGATGAAGAGAAAACCTCGTTCTATGCTGGTGACGAAATCTATTGCTATGTCATGATTCCATTTGGCTTAAAGAATGCAGGAGCTACTTATCAAAAAATGCTAACCATCGTCTTCCGAGCTCAGATTGGCAAGAATCTGGAAGTTTATGTCGATGACATTGTGGTAAAGAGCCTGAAAGTAGAAGACCATCTAGCTGATCTCGATGAAACTTTCAACAACCTCAAAAAGAATAGAATGCGGTTAAACCCAGCCAACTGCATTTTCGGCATGGAGTCTGGGAAATTTCTAAGCTTCATGGTTTCCCGGAGAGGGATTGAGGTCAATCCAGAAAAGATCAGAGCAATTGCTGAGATGGAACCACCGAAGTAAGTGAAAGATATACAGAGGTTAATTGGAAGGGTGGCAGCTCTTCATAGGTTCATATCGAAATTAGCAGATAAGTGCCTGCCATTTTTCAAGATCATGAGGTCAGCCGCCCAGAAGGACGAATCAGGCAAACAGAAGAAGTTTGAATGGAACCAAGAATGCCAAGCCGCATTCGAAGAGCTGAAGTCTTATCTTAGCTCATCACCTCTACTGATTAAGGCTATAGATGGAGAGATTCTCTATTTGTACCTTGGAATTTTAGACGAAGCAGTTAGTTCAGTTCTGGTGAGAGAAGAAGCCAAACAACAGAAACCAATATATTATATCAGCAGCGTGCTACATGGCGCAAAACTGAGGTATCCTATTGCTGAGAAAACAGCATTAACAGTTGTCACTTCGGCCAGGAAGCTGAGGCCATATTTCCAGTCACATCCAATCATCGTCTTCACAGACCAACCTCATCGACAGATTCTGCAGAAGCCAAAGTGCTCCGGAAGATTAATTAAGTAGGCAGTAGAATTGGGGGAATTCGAGATAACATTTCAGTAAAGATCTGCAATCCAAGCTCAAGCATTGGCAGATTTTATCGTAGAATGCACTGCATGTCACTTAACCCTTAATCCCGAGCCCAACGACTGGACCTTATATGTTGATGGAGCATCTAGTAGCAAGGGTTCAGGACCTGGTGCTCTCTTAATTGGCCCAAATGGATACCGAAGTGAGCATGCTTTGAAAGTTAACTTCGATGCAACAAACAACATGGCTGAGTATGAAGCTCTGCTACTTGGTTTCCAACTAGCATTGGAGTTAAAAGTCATGGCAATACGAGTATACAGTGACTCACAGCTTGTGGTTAATCAAGTCAACTTAATCTGTGAAGTCGTTGATCCTGTAATGATGAAATATGTAGCCTTGGTGGCCGAGCTGAAGTGCAAATTCCAAAAATTCTGTCTGAACAAAATTCCCCGAATTGAGAATGAACAGGCAGATTCACTTTCTAAATTTGCCTCTGATAGCTTTTTAAGCTCCAGATCAGTTTTTGTGGAAGTCTTAGATGAACCAAACTTCATGAAGCCACGAATGATGGAGATTAGCACAGACCCGAACACACCGAGCTGGACTGACTCAATTATCTTCTTTTTTACAAGACGGGATAGTACCTGAAGACAAGTAAGAGGAAATGAGGTTGAGGAAGAAAGCATCTCGGTATATACTTGTTGATGGGGTCCTCTATAAGAGATCTTTCTCTCTCCCTCTTCTACGGTGCTTGAATCCCTATGAAGTTGAGTACGCACTTCGGGAGGTGCATGAAGGTGTCTGTGAGAGCCACATTGGTGCTAGAACTCTGGCTCACAAAGTCTTAAGGTAGGGATATTACTGGCAAAATATGTATAAAGACGCTACTCACTTTGTTCAGAGATGTCCGAAGTGCCAATTCTTCGCACATCTGACTCATCAACCAGCAGAAGAGCTCACAAACTTGGTAGCACCGTGGCCATTTGCTCAGTAGGGACTTGATCTTTTAGACTCATTCGTGAAAGGGGTTGGCGGTGTAACCCATCTGATTGTTGGAGTTGATTATTTTACGAAATGGGTTGAAGTTCGGCCATTATCCAGTCTTACTTCCAGAAAGGTCGAAGACTTTGTTTTTGGCTCAATCATCTGCAGATATGGAATCCCAAATCAGATTGTGGTTGACAATGGTACCCAGTTCAATTGTTCTTCTTTTCGAGATTTTTGTTCCAGCTACGGGATCAAATTGCAGTTCACCTCGGTTTACCATCCGGAGTCTAATGGTATGGTAGAATTTGTTAATAAAGCCATCTTAGAAGGAATAAAGTCGAGGTTGGAACAGTACAAGGCCAGGTGGGTAGACGAGCTCAACAACGTCCTCTGGGCATATAGAACAACGAGTCGAACTGCCACAGGTACTATTTCCAACCCAAGTTCCTTTCGTTCTATTTTCATTCTATTTTACTTTCTCACTTGCGACTCTACCCTAGATCAAATATGCATAATATGTAAAGCATATTCTAAAGACTATAATTTCATGAAATATGTGAAACACCCTACCACCTGGCCTTTGGTGCCGAAGCAGTCATTCCTATTGAAATAGGAGTCCCAAGCTTTAGGGTAACTCATTTCGATAAAGGACGAAATGGACAACTGCTTAGAGAAAACCTTGATCTGCTTGGCGAAGTTAGGGAAGAAGCACAACTTCGAACTCTTGTATACAAGCAGAAGTTAGCCAATTTCTATAACAAACGAGTTTGCCCTCGAACATTCAAAGTAGGAGACCTTGTTCTTAGAAAGGTTGGCCTAACAAGGTTTGAAACTCGTGTTGGCAAACTAGCCCCAAACTGGGAAGGCCCTTACACAGTGGCCGATGTGCCACATCCTAGTGCTTATATCCTCCAGGATACTGAAGGAAAGCAGATTCTTAAAGTCTGAAATATCAATAACTTGAAGAAATTTTACCCCTAATAAACTTTTTTCAAGTGATCTATGTCTTACTGTCCTTTATACCTGTTACTTCTTGATTGTTGAGATTCATTTTACCTCTTATTCTGTATATCCGTGGTCAATATGCTTAAAACTCACTCCTTGAACTTCACTTTTATTAATGAATGTCACTTCGCATATGAAGTGATTTACTTCTTCTTAGTTCATCTGAAGTGATTTACTTCTTCTTAGTTCATCTGAAGTGATTTACTTCTTTTTATTTCATCTCTAACATAATTTACTTTCCCTCAAGACATATCCTAAGTAATCTTAGTTCTTATATTAACATAAAACAACCAAAGTATAAAGCAAGTAGAACACATAATTATCAACAAAAAAATTTTTCCATTAAAAAATAATAAAAGTTACAATTGTTTCAACGTTCTCGAACAAAAAAGAAAAATAAAAAAATACTAAAGTAAAAAACCCCTAAGCTATTCTGCTGGTGGAGGTGGCTGTGGTGGCTCCTGCTCTACTAAGAGAGGTGGTTGCTCTTCTTCTGAGGGAACTGGATGCACCTTTACAGGAGGAGATGACTGACTCTTCTCAAATTCAACCCATTCTGCTTCTCCTTCCTCTTCCTTGATTGCTACGAACTCGAAGTCGAAGTTGGGAGGAAAAACGGCGCATCCTTCGTCATCATGATCCCACCTCAACTTAACCTGAGGTCGGAAATCTGCTGACAGGCTTTCATCGTTCTCCTCCACCCCTTTCTCTTGTTCGCCGAAAGTGATCTTGGTGATATCCACCTCGAGATACTCAGTCTTGACCTTCTTTTTGCAATCAATGAATGCGAGGATTGCAGTCGGCAGCCGGTAGAGATTGATAATGTTGTCAAACGTGCTGGAGTTGATAAAGTTGCCGATGTGCTCATCCATCCCATTGTGGATCAGCAGTTGGACATTCTTTTTCATTTCCACCTCGGATTCTCTCATTCTCGTTATTTTTTCCTCTTGTGCGTCATTCTCTTCGAATGAGAGAATCGTCTTCAGCGTGTCTCTTTCCTCTTGCAGACTTGTCACTGCTGGTACCACAATATCCAATTCCCTCCTCATTTCACTGTTTTTCTTCAACAGCTCATCCCTTTTCTTCTGCAGGCTGTTGCGGTCCTTCACTAGCTCCAAGAATTCTTTGGCTAACACGATAACCCAAGTTACAGTCTGCCACATTAGCATAACTAAATTAAAAAAAAAAAAAAAAAAACAAAAACAATCACGAAACTTACCTCCAGAGCATGCTTCACAATTGTGTTCCGTCCATGCAGCAAGACTTCTTCCCTCGCTTCACAGCGATCCACCTTAGGAACGTAGGCGTTGATGAAGTTCTTCGCCGCGGAGAAGTTTTTGCTCCCAAAAATGCTGCTCTAGAGAGAAGGCGTGGGCACAAACGCCTTACCCTTGCCAGAGGTAGGGACCTCGGTCTCTCTAAGGTCCGAATCAAGCTCAATAGGTGCAGGATGAGGTACGAACTCCACTACCTCGTTCCCCCTGACCTCCTCCTCCATCTTCCTTTTCTTTTTCTGAGCTTGATCCACCTCATCCCTTAACTTCCTGTCCCTCTCTCTCTTTTCCCCTTCTCTCTCTCTGTCCCGTTCTCTCCTCTCCCTTTCCCTCTCTCGTTCTTCCCTGTCTCGTTCCCTCTTCTCTCTTGCCCTCTCCCTGTCTTTCTCTTTGTCTTTCTCTCTATCTTCCCTGTCCCTCTTCCTGTCTCTAACCCTTTCCCTCTCATCATCACAATCCCTTTTATCTCTGTGCTTTTCCTTGTCCCTTTCTCTTTCTCTATCCCTATCATACCTTTCATCAGAATCACTACTCTTATCCTTGTCAGAAGGACGAGTTTCACGGTCTCTCCTATCACGGTCCCTGTGCTTCTCACGACGTTCACGATGGGTCCCTTTAGAATCACTATCCTTTCTCTCTGAATCCTCCTTCCTAGGTTTATGCTTGGAATCCTCCATCTATGGTAGGGTAGTGTAGGGTAGGGTTGGGTTGGCTACTATATAACAAATCAACAACAATCTTAGAAACCCTATCAGATCGATTTATCAACCAAAAAAATTTTACACATATATCTATCTAATTCTTGGATGGATGATGACTGCCATTAAACATACCAAGTCGAACTCGCCCAAAGGATATCAATTATGTATTTTGTATTTCTAGACCTAAAAAATTTAAAGAACAAAAATTAAAAAAATTGAACAGCAATAACTTCCAACTTCAAAAGAAATCCAATCCAATCTAGGTCAAGAAACTTACCAGATATTTGCAGACACCTGAATGTCCACAACAGATTGATTAATTGATTAATCACAGAACACCTTAATTTGAATTTGAATCCGAATCCGCCAACGAAATTGTTGAATTAGAGTTTAAAGGAGAGACTCGACCGAAGCTGGCATTAGAAGCTGAAGCAATATTTGTGGTTCTGTGCTTGACATCTACCCCTTCTCCATGTGCCCACCTCCCTTTACAACCACAGCCTTCTCCGAAGTCTGGGACTTCTTCCTTGGCTTTTTGGGAATAGCCACCCCACCAACAGCACCGAGAAACATGTCCATTTCAGCTGCAAAACAACAAGTTCGTTAAATTCCACAAATCAAAAATCAACTTTCACACATCACACAAGACACCAACACACCTTCACTCAGTGCGCTTGGCCCATAAAGCTCAGCCGCTTCTATACCATCCGAACTGGTGAGAAACATAATATCTATTATGTCAACCTCCCTTCTCATCAGCTTTTCTACTTCTTCCTCCTCATCACTATTTAAACTATATTTATTTTGGTTGGCTTTTTTAGCCTTCCAGGTAGCCAAAAACTCCACCTCCGCATCTCCCCTATCCTACTCGGTGTCATCAACAAAGAAAAATTTTTCCTTCCATCCCTTAATGGAGGAAGGCCCTGCACTAAATAGGTTTCTTTTCTCTTTGTTGGATGACCGAGGTGTAAAGTAATACCACCCCTTCTCCTTCCTACTCCTAGCTTCAACACAAAAAAGTGCTTAAACACGTTTACTATGGGCACCCTAACTCCCTTAGCTCGACAATAAATTACAAACCCAATTATCACCTTCACTACATTGGGAGATAATTGGGTTAAACTTACATTATACTATAATAGCAACCACACTAACAAATCAGGTAAAGGAAACCTAAGCCCTGCTGCCAAGTAATGGGCATACATTGGCATCTAGTGATCCTTGGGTGCAGAGCATGCCCTTTCTTTCACTCCAGCAGGCTTGATTAACACTCTAGAAGAGATCTCATAGCTTTCTACGAGATAACTCAGGCTATCCCTACTCCGGAGCTCAGACACAATGTCTGCCCCACTATCATAACACTTATCCATCCTATCTCCCACTTCCAATATATTGACAAGCACCTCTTCTGCCCCAACCTCAACTACCTCATTTCTCCCTACCCCTCCCTCTATCCGCTCAAACCTAGACGATTCACCCTCAATGCTGACATCACTGTACTCCAACATCCTTACTTCCTCGTTCCCCCCAATGCTCAATGTTTCCTCAGAAGACATTTCCTCAGTCTCGTAACTTTCACTGCACGGAATAGGGGGAGGGATGTAGTCAGCATCTTCAAAAAACTCTAACTCACGCTCAATATCACTTTCACTCTTAACCCTAACCTCTTTAAGATGGCTTAAATCTAAATCAGAAAGGGTGAGAGGAGAATAAAATTCACCACTAGAACTCGAATTACAAAAGTTCATAAGTTACCTGATTTTGATAGTGTAGAACGAGTTTTGAAGTTGGAAATGTGTCAAACAAATCACTCACACAAACAATGTAGAAAATTTGGCAGCACTTCGGTAGCAAATATGGAGAAAGTAAAACTCTTTTTACAGAAGTATAACTTTATATACCAAAAGAAATATACGCCTCAATGGCTCTGATTAATTTCATATAATGGTCACGGTCACACCGTTTCGAATTCGACGGTTAATCCCTAAGGGAAATCTCTGGGATTTGATGGTTCGTTTCCCATCCTGTCCGCTTAACTGTGCAGTTACTTTTTTACAACCCGTATTTATTGTACACGTCTTTTGACAGACAGCTGTCACGCCACGTATTAACCTTATGTCAGCCCTATTTAATGGGTCCCACTAAGCCCATTTCAATTCTTCTATTCCCTTTCAAAATAAAATTTTTCATTTATACTACAAGTATTTTACTTCGGCTCCGCCCATAGTGGTTTCGTGTCACATTTTTTATTACGGCTTCGGCCATTATGACTACGGTCAGTGCTTTTTACTTCGGCTCCAGCCATTATGACTACGGTCACTACTTTTTACTTCGACTCCGGCCCTTATGACTCCGGTCATTACTTTTTACTTTGAATACGGCCATTATGACTCCGGTCATCATTTTTTGCTACGGCTCCAGCTATTATGATTCCGGTCATTACTTTTTATTTCGGCTACGGTCATTATGACTCCGGTCATCATTTTTTACTACGGCCCCGGCCACTATGATTTCGGTCATCACTTCTCACTATATTCCCAACCACTATGACTCCGGTCATCACTTCTTCCCATGTCCCCGGCCACTGTGACTCTGGTCATTATTTTCATTACGGCTCAGGCTATAATCATTCCAGTTACATTTTATTTTACCACCATATATGAATTTGAGTTACCAATTTTTATTTTTATCTCTGTAACTCACCTTTAATATGTTCATTCCCTTTTCTTTCTATTTATGCACTACTCCCATTACCTCTAACAACATCATTCACAAGTGAATGACTTCGGGGGAGAATAGTGTAAAGATAGGTCCGAGGTCAAGGACCTTGGACGTACTGTAACAATTCCTTAATAGCCGAAGTGAGATTAATTCCAGCACTTCCGATCAAATGGCTACATGGTAGATACAGTGAACATGTCCGCACCTGATCTATCACACAATTTCCCGGTCCCGAATTTATCGCCGGTCCCGAATTTACCTCCTTAAGAGAAATGTTACACTCCGATTATCGTGCTAAGCAAGCCACATGGATACCTCACAAAGGCCTATAAATACCCCCCAGGGGCCACCTTAGAAAGGTAATTGAAACCGACCTAAAGCTCCTCTTTAATTATCCTAAAAAGGTAGATCCGATTATTGCTGACTTAAGTATCAGAGTGTCTACCCCGAGGACCCACCTCGGGGCTTTGTAGGTTCATCCGAAGTGAAGACACGGACTGAAGAAGGACTTCTGATTTGGTGCAATTACAATATGTTTACAAAATTGTAAAATAGACTAGCTAAGATATAAGTAACATAAGGTAAAATAGATAGCATAAATAACTAACTAATAATAGATACATAGTCATTACTGGTAAAACTTTAATTTTGTCATTACAAAGATAAACAAGAGAATAATATATATTAATTTTAAATATAAGTATTAATATTTAATAATAAGGTAAAATTTTAAAATTTAAATTGAATTTTAATTAAATGAAAAATATTATTAAGATTCTAATTTTTTAAAAAAATCAAAATTGATATGGAATATCCTCCATAAATAATTACTAGTGATAATTTTATGATTAACTAATTTTTACCGCTTTTGGCAGTTGTACATATGCTTGTTTAATTTTGTTTAATTTTGAAAAAACTTAGATATGCAGCTTTAGTTTGTAAAACTTATTAAAAAGTTATTTTAAAAATTAATTTTTTAAATTTTTAATAAATTTTTAAATTTATGAAAGAAGAGTTTATTTAGAGTAAATTTACCTTTTTTCATAGTTTCCACTTTTTTTCTTTTATATATTTTTTATGCATTTTTCTTTTATAATTCATTTACATAAAACGGAAAAAAGTTATACTCCACGGCTGGGAAAATCATTTCTTAATTTCACTGCTTTCCTTCCGCTTAGTAGATTCAAATAGAAAAAGCTATCTCCACTTGTTTTCTTTCACTGCCTTCCTGATCTTCAGTGCTGCCTCACATATTTTCTTACACAACCGATGAGATTCACCTTCAAATGGCTTCACCATTAATGGTTCGGTCTCCTTTTCCGTTTCCCAACATACTTTCATCCTTTGATTTTATGTACTACTATAATTTGGTACCACTTATCATCTAAACTTGAATTATTTTCTGCAGATTGCATCATGTTGGTAAATCCAGTAGTACATATTCTGGTATCTGCATTTTGTCTTTCAAATCTTGTAATTGAGGAAGCCCAAGTTTATAAACCAGCTGGTATATATCTTTCAATCGCTGTGTTTTTTTCCTTTTTCACCTTGATTTTTCTTCTCTCAAAAGCGCGATTTTAATATAAGCTTTGCTAACTTCATCACTAAATTATTAAAGCTTAGTATATGGTATATTTTTTTCTTTGAATTGTACTTTTTCTCCTCAGTCTTCTCTAAAGTATTAGGTTTTAGATTGCTTTTCTTTTCTGGTTTTTAATTTTGTTATATCTTCTTTAAAAATTTTTGAAAGAATTAAAAAGTACATATCCGAGCAATTCGTGAAGAAGCCTTTTGCTAGATATATATTTCTTAAAGTCATTCCTAATCGTTTGAGAAAACTGTAATTGTTGTCATCTTTAAATTAACTATTTTAAATTTGATTTTTGCCTCATTTTTTGAATCTGCATATGATAATATATCCATTTTTTTTAGTTGGTGGTATCTACTTCTACTTATTTCAAGGTCAGCTCGGTAATAGCAACCATATTTATTTCTTAATGTAACACATAAATGGGTTATATTTGATTTTATGAAGTTCTTTGATTGATTTCATCTATATATATATAAAATGCTACCCTATGCATTAAATAGGGTAAGCATTTTACATAAACCTTTTGTTTTTATTCCAGGGACATTATTACGTCTTCTTGAACAGTTATTTTTTTTTAGAATTTATGGCTGCACAATAAGCAATAAATTATGATTGTTATGATAAATAACAAATTTATTAATAAAAAATAACTGAAAATAGTTTAAATAAATGA